ACTATTCTGGGTTCAATTAAAAGCATCTCCTTGAAACACGTGGTATTGTTTTTGAAATCTGCCATTGTAATCACTGCAGTACATTTAGGCCTCATTCACACTACTGCGCATGTACGTGCGTATTGTACCATATGCAAATAAATGGTTCCATACACATAGCCGCGTATGGAGCCGTATATTTGCGTAGCGTAAAAATGCGAAAAAACAAACTGGAACAGAGATGCGTCCGTGCAGCGTATTCCTGCATATTGTACGCGCATAAGCATATTTGCGCGTATGTGCGTACAGTTCATTATAATTTCTATTAGGAATGATGCATTCTGAGAATGCAAATAGGCACGCATATACGTGCATACGCTCGTATATACGCACATAGACACGTGTATATATACGCAATATACAATTTTGCATGAGGCCTTAGGGAGAATTGTAGGAACCTCACAATGATCTTTTAACATGAACCCGACACTTAACCATACAAAAACGATAACATTTAACCCTTTCAGTGAAACCCCATCTGAAATTTTTTTTGTTACATTTTAGATAGTCGGGAGTTAAATCCTCAGTTTTTACTTGGTGTGCGTGCCCATTGGGGAATTCTGTTTACTTCCTGTTTTGTGACCATACAGTGAGTAAGGAAGATCTCCACAATGGGGACACAGACGGCAAATAACAGCTTTTTTTTTTTTTTAAAGGTTCTAACAATCCTACCCGAAATTTTTACCCTCTGCAATTAACCGGAACTCTTAAGAGGGTTTATTTATTTATTTAGTCATGATAATGTATGCAAGTAGAGGTGCCCATACACTGCACGATTCTCGTACGAGAATCGCGGGAAATTTTTTAAACTACTTTACAACCCTCGCAAGACAAAAGTCTTGCGAGGGTTGTAGAGTGTATGGGCACCTTAAGTGTGTTGTGGTGCCATTCTGTTTGAATCCTATCCCAATCACATCTACCCTGTGCACAACAATGCACATGCTTTTCAGCGCACACCAAAATACACAGATATGAACTGTAGTGAAATGCTTTGTTGACTTTAATGCTGCCAGTCCTATCTGAAGTATGTGAGGATGCCAAGGGACATTCCTTTGCTGCAGCGTTGGTGGAGACAGGCTGGAGGGAGCACTGTGCCAGCCAGCTCCGAGGTGCAGGTAAGTATAACTAACTTTTTTCATTTTAGTCCCTAGACGAAAATATAACTGTTAACCCTTGTAGTGCGGGGGTAGCCCCGCTGCAAGGGTTAGTAACAAATGTAGAATACAGGAAGAAGATATATTTATTTTTTGACTAATCACTTCCATATAGTACATTTATCTTTTACTTTTTTCAATTGTAAGCAAATTAAATTAAGCAATCTTGCTTTTTTCCCACTGGAATTAGAAGAAGATTAATTATGGCTCTTCAGTCTAGGAATGGATTCAGCATGTTGTTCTAGGTCAGGAAAAGGCAGTACATGCCATCTAAATCTGTCTCAATCCATACTATATTTAATCATCTATGTAGCGCTGACCTGTCCTAGACCGGGTCTTTGTCCAAATGCAGTCTGCCTTATCCCCGCAACATGCGGCAGCTTCTAATTGTGTCGCTCAGGTGACCAGCTTAGTTGGTGGTGGTGGCAAATACGGCCACATTGATCTGGATTAGGTGGATTTTGAGTAATGATTCCTATAGTGTTACATGCATTGTAAACATTTAATGTCCCACTGGTGTTATCATTGATATACTGTAGCTGGTAAATCTTCGTTTTGTATGTTCACATTCTTAGCAACAGAACATTTGCATGGGGGGGGGTTGCAAGTGCAAATTAACTTTACAGTCTTTCCCGACCACATGCATATTAAGGCTGTAGTCCATCATGGGAGTGAGGTTGCAGCTGTAACCATCCTCCCAGAAGGAAGGACAGTGTCGGCACCAATTCAGAGATGATTTGGATCTACACCCGAGTGATACACAAATGAGATTGTTAGTCATTAAGTTACTTGAATGCATTTTTAAGATTGAACTCCTGAGTTCAGTGGCACTTTAAGATTAATATACTAGCAGTAGACCATGCAGAGGAGCCTTCATTCACATACGTTGTAGTGTACCTAAGGAGCCCTAAAACTCATGGCCCTGAACGGTTCATGAAGTTGGAGCTCTGACTTACCCTGGCTCATCTCCTATGACTCACTAGTGGTTATCAAAGCCGACAGTCAAATTGGTGGACCAGGTTTGAGATACACCCAGGAGCAGGTCAAGGCTCCTAATTTAGAAACTGAATTCAGTAGTCCGGGCTGAATTTATTCTCTCATTAGACTTCAATATTCTTCCAATCGAAAGTCCCTGTCTCAGTGGTGATTCCTACTTATGCCATCCCACATTCGGGGCCCAGTGTTACTGTTGTGGTTTGCCTGCAGTTTGGTTAAAAATAAAAACCAAAGCACTCAAACGATAGGCATTGCTTTTAAAGGCCCAGTTTCCATCCGTTTCTGTGGATTGGTGGTTTAGCAAGATGCAGCTGCCAGCATTTTCCCTCCCATTTGCTCTCTCATTATCATTAGATGCATATTCACTATTTTCGATAGCCTGGTTCACAAACCTCAATGAAACAGTGCTTTCCCCAAAACAGGGTAGAATTGCTGCCACTGTTAGGGGAGTAACAATGGCTGCCACATGCAGACAAAGGGGCTAATATATAAACCTTCTGCCCAACATGTTCCCGCATCTAGAAGGAGCTGAGGACTTCTAGATCCATCTAGGGGCAGGAATTCCATGCCAACAGCACTTGCTCAGCTATGTGCTGGGCCGAGTTTCAAAGTGTCTGTCATTGTGGGTTCCACCTGTGGCCATTTTGGGAAATCCTATGTCTTGACGCGAGGCTCTGCTTTCCTTAGATCAAAACTGCATAAGAGACTGCAGCTACGTCTACATTACAGACCAAGTTAGCTAAATCATCAGTTGTTCAAAAGAACCTTCTACTAGTTCACATAATCCTTTCATCCTCCTGTAGGCCCCAAAACCTTACGCACAGTGCCTCATGGGTAATGGAGCCCTTTCTAGCTCTGCACATAATAAAGCACCTGGGTTTCTGAACTCCTACTGCTCCTAGGTAAACAAACAATATTGCAGACACCTCTACGTTTCTTATTTGCTGCCTTTTTTTTCTGGGGTGAAAAAAAACCAGGAACCCCTTTTATCACAAAGGGGCTGAGAACACACTACTGCCATGTCCCCCTGTTACACCGACCGCAAACAATGTGTTTTCACCAATACTTAATTCTGCCTTTTTAAAATAACACATTCAATCATTTAGAATATGGAGTAAAAGATTGAGGTGAGGTAAAACACTTTTTTAGGTAAGAGGGAAAACTTTCAGGAAAGGGGGGACACAGGGAATTGATTTTAAAAGTGGAGCAGTCCCTTCAAATTAGGGGCTAGTTGGAAGCTATGACCACAAATACATGTAAGACATTATCTCGGTGGGTAGAAATAGATTTCGGGGTTTTTTTCCGATGAGTATACAGGTCCAGAATTATTTTGTTTTAAAATTATCTTGCTATAGGCAAGAAAACTCTTCATGGCTGATACATGCTGAGGCATTTGGGAACTATACGCAGATTACAGTAGCTCAGTCACGTGTTCCACATTTGTGTTCTGCTTGTAACAGAAATCGCTTTAATGTAAAGCATGTAGACAAGGTTACAGGTAAGGAGCGTGTCCAAATAAAACACAGTTCTATCTATCGGACGGAATGTACAGTCGTGCAGCTAATCAGCTGTACATACCAGGGAGCAGATGTTGATCCTGCAGACGCACCAGGCCATGGAAGTGGGTTTTTAGGTCACACCGTTTGTTCTGTTGGATCATTTCAGATTGTTCTGGCTGTAGTCTCCAATCCTGTCCAGGCTTTTGGCTGTCCTTGATTAAATGTTGTATAGAACTAAAGTCCCATGACGGAGCTCATGAAGTGTGGCATTTCTAAATAAATGGTTTGAAAATGTAGATAAGAAGCCTCCAGCCTTTTCTGCCATCTAAGATGTAACATGCCTAATGGAAGTAAGCTGTCTTGGTACACAAAGAATATGAATTGTAATATGTTTGTGCATTTTATGTATGTGTGTTCTGTCACCAATGGTTAATTTGTAAACCTAAGCACTTCCTGTAAAAGTAGAACATTTATACCTATCGTTGCAGTGGCCTGCATCTTCAGACTCGGCAACTTTGCATGTATTCAACACTTGGACATGTCAAATATCTGTTCCTTTGTGGCACGCTGTGGTTCCTCCCGCCAGCTTGTAGCTGCGTAAAGTGACATACAAGCTGGTGAGAGCAAATACAGGGTATGCAGCAGGAAAAGATGTTCATATCCTTGAAAGTAAAGAAAAATTTGCAGTGGGCAGGAGCAACAAAGTTGCAGAGTTTGAGAAGACACAGACAGGCTTTTTTATGTTATTGACTTAACACACCTGGGTATGCCTGTTATCATTAACAACATCTCGGCTTTTTTGAGTGCCTTGGAAATCTCAAATCATGGGGTAGTCTGATGTGAAAAATTTCAGCCCACTCATGTAATCAACAGCCTGCCTGAACCCTGCAAGTGCTTTACCGTACAACTGGCCTATCCTTGTGATGGGCAGTGTCAGTGATGAGGGGCCCAGACTTTTGACTACATTTTCATACATTACCCTGTGATTTCAGGGTCCCGGGGATGCTGGGTAGTTAGGCTGAGCTGGAAGTGTCTGTTGTATGGTAGCATTGCCATGGCTACAATTTTTAAATTCATACATTTTGATTAACTGTACTGCCTGTTGTGAGTTATAAGTGTATAAGGAGTAGTCTGTGTTCACTAATAGAGGATTGAGGTCCAGTTACCAATAGCAAGCGATTTGTGTAGCAAGTGTAGGACGCACATTTTTGCCTTTTTCTTTAAGTGTGTTTTTGTCAATGTTGTCTCTAACATGTTTATGTTTTTAACATGTTTATGTTTTTAACATGTTTTCTTATTGTGCTTTGTTTAGATTCCTGCTTCAGTGTCTGGAAGACCTGGATGCTAATCTGCGGAAATTAAACTCTCGCTTGTTTGTGATCCGCGGACAACCTGCTGATGTCTTTCCGCGGCTCTTCAAAGTATGTTTTTCACCATCGTTCTTATTATTATTCTTTGTTGCCTGCTGCCTTCTAATTTGCTTTCTGTACCATGTTGCATTCATTCCATCCATACTAAAATGTTAATAGATCTAATGTAGTTAACAGAATCTGTTTGTTCTGTATGAAAACAATGTGAATATTTTGTCTGCCCTTTTCCAGGAATGGAAAATCAGCAAGCTGTCTATTGAGTACGACTCTGAACCATTTGGAAAAGAGCGAGATGCTGCAATCAAGAAACTGGCAACTGAAGCTGGTGTGGAGGTCATTTTAAGCATTTCACACACTCTCTATGATCTGGACAAGTGAGTATTTGTAATAGTCCTAGAGGGCATTTCTATGTAGTAAATTACATTTACTACATGTAGTAGTTACATCTGAAGCAGCCTTTGTTAATGTTTGCTGAAACCTCTGCCAAAAGTATGAACTATTTTGCTTATTAGCTACCCTCATGTGCATAATCAGTTAACAAACATGCTGCTCAGGTTTGTCCCACAACACCCAGTGTTTACTACTGGACACCACTGTCTAGCTTGCCGAGCTGTAATTTACGGCCTCCACATCAAAGATGGAGGAAAACAACGTTTCTTGGATATGGGCATCCACCACGTGAACCAGGAGATCACTGCAGAAATGTAAAGCAGAACTCCGGGCACATCAAATTTTAACCCTTGCTGTCTATCCCCGCACTACCAGGGTTAAGTGATCATTTTGTCTAGGGAGTTAAATTAACAGTTGTACTCACCCGAACCGTCATACCGGCTTGCTCTTACACTGCTCCCTCCAGCCTATCTCCTCTGCTCCAGCGATGGCATGACCATTGGCGTCCTCACGTCCTATACACTGTATTGGACATGATGACTCGCTGGACCTTAGACCGCTGCAGCGGAGAGGGGGTAAGGCTGAAGGATGCGGACTAAAAGCAAGTCGGGATTGTGGTATGGGTTAGTATGACTTTGTTATTTTAGCTCTCTAGACAAAACAAGAACTTAACCCTTGCAGTGTGGGGGTAGACCACTCCCAGGGTTAAGATTTGAATCACCCGGCATTCTGCTTTAAAGCTGAGAAGTTTAACATGACGGATCTTTAGAATAGGGTTGCAGGACACCTGACCATTAAACCTATAAGGGGCATGTTGGACATCCCACTCCAAAATCATGGAATTATATCCATGGAGTCCCAACCACCCCTGCACCTCCACTATTTTGGGAAGGTTTTCCACATTCGTTAGTGTGTTTGGAATTAGTATCCATTCAGCCAAAAGAACATTGTTAGGTCGTGTAATGATTTTAAACGAGAAAATCCTGCTTACAAATGGTGTCGCAATTCATCCCAAAGGTGTTCAGTAAAGGTCAGGGCTCTGTGCGGACCTTTGGGGTTCCTTCACACTAAACTCCTCAAATCATGTCTTGTAGAGCTGGTTTTGTGTAAAAGGACACAGTTACAGGACACCGTGTGGAACATACTGTTGCCACAAGGTTGAAAGCACACATTTGTCCAAAATCTCTTTGTATGCTATAACATTAACAGTACCCTTCACCGGAAACACCCAAACTTAATCTGAAAAGATTTCGAATACTTGTGGACATTTAGTATTTGTGATGGTCAGGGGTCCACAAACTTTTGACCACATAGTATAGTTGTTTGAACAGGCTGTGCCTTTTTTTTTTTCATATTTGTATAGCAGATATTGTCTGGAATAAAATGTATGCTTGTAGCACGTCTTGCTGTGGCAAGAATGTTCTTACATAGAAGTATTTATTTTTCAATAGGATTATTGAGTTGAATGGAGGGCAACCACCTTTGACTTACAAGAGGTTCCAAACACTTATCAGCAAAATGGAACCACTGGAGATGCCAGCTGAGACCATTACAGCCGAGGTTATGGATAAGTGCACCACACCAGTGTCCGATGATCATGATGAGAAGTATGGTGTCCCTTCCCTGGAAGAATTAGGTATATTATTGTATACTTCTTGGTAACCTAAAAAATGTTTAAGGCTAGGTGGGATTCAGTGTTGACTAAAATTCCATGCTGTTATTCATCTTCTACTAGTTAAATTCCTAAGTCTGAACCTGTATTATAATCCATAATTGGTGGAACGTGTAACAAACCTTTATTTTTTATGGGGAAAAACCATTAAATATCCTGAAAACGTTATTTAAATGTTATCTGACAGTATCTATATTAATACTTCTTGATTTGGACAAGTTCCAGTTCACGAGTGCAGTTTACCATTATTTGACACATTCTCGTTATTTGACCATGAAAACTGACCCCTGCTGGAGACCCTTCCCTTACAGGGGACTACAGCTTTGTCATTTTGCTAGGACAAGAATCAGCAAGTCTTACTGCCTCTGCTGATTAATTGTGACGCCACAGCCTAAGGGTCCCCACACACCTTACGATTATGCTACGATAATCGCGGGAAATCCCGCGATCGTACGATGATCGTAAGGTGTGTGGAAGCCGTGCGACCTCTACTACTGTAAGGTTGCACGACTTTAAACTTACTGACATGTTTGAAAACCCGCCGAGCATCGTACAATGTTCGGCGGGTTTGTGGCATGTCCGTACGATAACAGCCGTACGGGCCGGTGTGCGCAAGCGCACACTGCCCGTTCGGCATTGCGGTCATCGGAAGCCCGCCCCTCAGGGGGCGTGGCTTGCAATATTCGGAAGTACGATCTGCCTATGCAACATATGCAGATCGTACGTTTTTTTAAGTACCTTACAACCATCGCAAGACAGAAGTCTTGTGATGGTTGTAAGGTGTGTGCCCAGCCTAACATTTCAGATAATGCTGGTGCTGTATTACCAATTGAAAACATTGCTCAGGGCTAATCGACACAAATCTGAAGAGGCCTTTTGGCATGGTTTTTTCTTTTTTCTGTCTGCAGCTGTGCAGGCTTGTGGCATTTTTCCAACCCATCATCTCACAATCTAAAATGCTGCTCCAACCTTTTTTGCATCTGAAATATAACTGGTGTAGTTTTTTTCTTTTTTTTTTTTTTCACTACATAATTTAGTCATTTAAAAACATCAATCAGACTTAATGGAGCCAGAGTCCATAGTGACTAAAGCTTTCCAATAATTTCTGATTCGGGCTAAATGAAAGGGTCACAAGGAAGCCCCAGTAAGTTTGGTGTTCCGGTGGGCAGTGTCTACTGGCAGAGGTTTCTGGCTAACCTGCTTGATGATATGTGACAAGTAGACCTGATTCAAGTCTGGCACATGTCAATTTAAAACTTATTCCTTGCCAAAACCTTTTATATTTTGGATAGACTAGGGAATGATTAAAACAAAACCTTTTTTATGTTTTGGATAGAGTAGGGAATTAGTAAAACAATCTACCCAAATTTTTTTGGAGAGGTGTCTAAGTCATATTAATATATAGGGGTTATAATTCTGATCTGCAGAGTCCCCATATACAGGTATAGTTTTTTTTGGGGGGGGGGGGGGGGGGGATTGTTGATTTAACTTTATACCGGGGACTCCGGATTGTTGGGAGCCTGTGTAGCCAAGTCTATGTATTTTCTCCATAGAGAATGGCTAAACTGCATTTGTTTTTTTAAATGTATTATTTGTATTTTTTTAATGCGGTTTGTGCTCCTTGGATATATTTCCTCTACCTGTCCTGGAGTCACAGCAGGAACTTGTGAACTGTGAAATTTTGGACTTTCTATCACTTTTATGGACAAGGAGAGCAATAAAAACCTGATGGATTCTAGTCTTTCCCTACACCATCCAAAAAAAGAAAAAATATTTTTACATATATTTCGAAGTTATAGAAACGTGTAGATGGACATATTTTTGTGTGTATGAGCTACGCTAGTCCAATCTGAGCATTTTGTTTCCAATGTATACATCATGGCCCGCTACTTATTGTCATATTGCTGGCATTGTGTTACTGATACCAATCTTATCTGTGTAAGGGTCTACAGCATGAAAGTGCAGGCTTCTGTTCTAAACCATTCCATTCTACAACCCCTCATGCGGTGGTAGTCAGATTGTGATCTGCTAATGATGAAAAAATAACCGTTCCGAGCAAAAAATAATGGTTTTCTGTATTCCGAGCTTGCATTCAACCCCTCCTTTAAACCAAAAGATATTTTCTTAACTGCTGTTTAAGACGGGACTCTTGTGTTTAATCATATACATTTATGTTTAAAATATTTTGCTTTGAACGCCATCTTTTTTTCTCATCTCATATCGTGATTGGCTACATTAACGCTAAAAGCTCACATAGGTATTGATGTTTGCACACACGATATTTGTAAATGAAGTCTAGCGCCCCTGGTTCTCACATTCCTAAGCGCAAGCATGTTGTTAGTAAAAATTGTTTAAATGTATAGCTATGTTTGGTGGCGCACTTTAAAATTTACATCCACAAGTGTAAAACTTGTTGGGATTATATTTACAGAGTTAAATTAAGTACCATAACACAACCATGCACGAAATGCATAACTGCTTAACTTTGGCTTTTTACATTCTTATTATTTTTTAAATCTCTGCAATTCTCTAGCTTTTTTGCTCCCCCTATTGCTGCTGCACTCCCTGTAATATGTGCTATGGGTACCATTTAAAAAAAATTATACTTTGGCACAGAACACTATATTATCTATAGCTGTATACAAAATGTTAAGCCCTAATGTGGATATGACATTTAGGCAAAGCTTGCAGATGTTTAATTTTGCATTTTTTTTAGAAAGAACAAAAAAAACTTTAACTCTTTGGTGCCACATTTACCAGCAATTGGATGCATGTCCGAAAAAAAATATCTCACTCCCGTATTGCAAATAATAAAAGAATTTTGTTTAATATGAAAGTAGCTAATTTGTTAAACTGAACTTGTTAGTTTGGAGTGATTTTCAAAATGACAAAAATAAAGAATAAAAAAAGTGCTAATTTATCAGCATGTGGAGGCACATCCTTGACTCTGTCTTGGACATTTCGTTTTCTAAATATGCAGAGAATATTTCAGTTCTTTTGGTTTCATCTCCCAACTGAGCAACTGCACGATGTCTGGAACATTAACAATTTGTAAACTTCACAAAAACTTTGTTTTCCTTCAGCAAATGAGAGAAATAGCAACTATTTGTATGTTCTCCAGGAGACCAACAAAACCAGTCCCTGCACGTTAAACTAAAGCAATTAAAAATTAATCTCACTAAACTTTTTTTGCCAGGATCTCAATTAGACAGGGCGCCATTAGGCTGACAACTAGTGGGGTTACTTTCTGGCTGCAAGACATCACAAACGGACACCAAAGGGCGGTGGCATCACTTTCCCGCTGACTTCAGTGATCAGGTGATGCCAACTGCTCCAGCCCTGGCCGGATTCGTGGCAAGGAAGCTTGCGAAAACCCAATGAGAAGGCGGCACAGGTGGGGTTGTTCATGTTTTGTAAAGAGAGCCATAGTGTGGTAGGGCCTAGCCCGTATGTCTGCAGGGCACAGCAAATGTGCGCCAACGTGGTACTATGGGATAAGCCCATAGAGCAGTGGAGACTTCACTAGCATTTTTGTTCTCTTGTGTTTAATGTTTCCTACCAAAAATAAACTGGATTCCTAAATTACTGAAGATGTGACTATACAATCTCATCTTAAAGTGCATGTCCAGCCAAAACTTTTCTCTTCATTTTTGATTTGAGTGGGGAAGGGTTAAAACCCCTGTCAGGTTTGTACTGTTATTTGAAGCTCTGTTGCAAAGATTTCCCCTCATTTCCTTCCCTGGTGGCAACATTTTACAAGACAGGAAGTGAGATGAATGCTTCAGCAGCATCACAGAAGAAAGAACAAAGCTTTTCTTTCGTTGAGTAGGGGAAGGTTAGAATCCCTGCCAGATTTTCATTTGTCTATGTTCCCGTTGCAGATTTTCCCTCATTTCCTCCCTGGGGCAGCTGTTGTCAGCAGCACAGAAAGTGAGGGTGTTCTCTCTAACGGAGCCCTAGATAACTTTAAAAATCAGACAGTTGTAAACCTTCCTCATGCTATCCCAAACTGGAAAAAACGTTTTTTTTCTTGATTATACACTTTAACCCTATTCAGGACTGAAGGTTTGTAGTAAAGAATTGGGCAGATCGGTTTCTAGTCCAGGACTACTCAGTTACCACTTTAGGACAGAAGATATGTTTTTACTTTTTGTCTTTTGATTACAGTTAAAGGGTTTCATACCTACAGTGATCATCAACTTATTGGTGTTTATGAACCTTGCAGCTACTGCTCCTGAATACATGATGTTTTCTTTCCAGTCTCTTCCTGTGCTTTTCCTGTGCTTTCCATGTCTGTCACCAGGCACAGCTGTTTAACTTTGTCGCTTGTGGAGATGGTACAGCACTGCCGTCTGTAGTCAGCCGTACCTGAAGTAGCAGAGCTATACCATGTCCAAGGGCAACAAAAAGAAGCAGCTCTTCCTGATGATGATACAGCATGGCAGCCAAGCACAAAAAGAATCCTTAAAGATAAAGCTGTGCATTTGTGCTACACGTTTCACAGGGATATGTACAAGCGCATAAGTTGAAGTCATCTGAAGGTGGTCAACCCCTTTAAGTGAAGAACTTTCCCAATGTGTTGGGTGGAGAGGGTGCAATGTGTTAGTCCTGAATAGGGTTGAATTTGGTGTTTTAGCATGTGTCCTGTCCAAGTTTGTTACATGTTTTCTATATTGCCTTGTTTTTTATTCTATATTCTTATTTTCTGAAAATTGTTAGACAAAAATCTCTACTAAATATATAAATTATACAAACAGACCAATTAAAGCCAATATGCTCTAAATTCTGATGCCTTCGTGCCAGGAGTCAGATTTTGTGGGCCTGTGTCCCTTTGCCGGAAATGGATTCACCTGTACTGCTAGCTCCAAGGAGTTAACGTATTGACCATTATCAAGCATCTAATTCACATTATGGATTGTTTCTTATGTTTGCACCGCATTTTCATGTTTTATGTTGCATAAAGGAAAGAGGGAGATTAAGAGAATCCTAAAGTTATGTTTTGTGATTGTTCATTAGGGTTTGATGTAGAAGGATTGCCATCTGCCGTGTGGCCCGGAGGAGAGTCTGAAGCACTGACGCGCTTAGAAAGACACCTTGAGAGAAAGGTAGGTAGAATGTCTGACCCACAAAAACAGCACTGCATTATACATTTAGAAAAATAGCCATATTTTTGGAACCCAAAAATACATCAATAATCTTTTGGTCCCTTTCTGGCCAACCTGTTCACATCTGCATTTAGAAAATGTGTGCGGGGATTAGCAGTGAAATGGGCTGTCAGCTGAGACAAAGATCACTGACTCCTTTAAAGAAGGTCGCCCTTATCTTTAAAAATGACAAAGGCATCTTTTGAAATGTTTAGTAATGGCAACCTACAAACCGATGCTTATAGATTATTTCAGGATATTTTTCTTTGCATACCTTTTTTCTTTTCCTCCACAGTGGCCATTTTCACTAAGGGCAGATAAATCCATCTCCCTTGTTTCTTGCAACTTTGTCTGCCTCTTGGAACATGTAATAGTGCATATGATGGGGCGGGGGGTGCTTTCCTCTGAGATAGCATGAGATTTCCCATGAAGGCACTAGTGATGTAACCTTCCTAGTATGCATCTGTGAGACCAGGGCTACATCACCTGCGCCTCACTCAACCAGAAAGAAAAATAGTAGTTATAAGTAAATGCAAAACGCAATTAATATAACATGTTCTCATATACAGTAAGCATGCAGAGTTGTATGCTAATATGATTTTTATTTTAGGGAAATGGGGTAAGGCTGCGTTCACACCTGACCGTTTTGTAGCGCGTCCTACGCTCGACGAACGCGCTACAAAACGGTTAAAAAAATAAATAGCATTGTAGTCAATGCCCTCGTTCCCACCTAGGCGTATTTCCGCCCGTCCCTAACGCCCTACAAAACGGCCCACGCCTGAAAAGGTCCCGGGACTACTTTGGGCCGTTTTGTAGGGCGTTTTCCATTGGGATACAGCCAAGTAGCCTTTGGAATCGCGCGACGGTTGCGCGACTTTTTTACCGCGAATCGCGGTAAAAAAAGCGTGACGGTCGCGCATATTACAATACGTCTAGGTGTGAATGGGGCCTAAAGGTCTGCTTTAAGAGTCAGGGGTAATGCTGCTAATGCTCCTGCTCAGAGACTCAAAAGGAGCTGCATTTATTTATTTTTAATTTCTGTTTTAACATACCTGCTTCTAGACAGTTGGTTTTTTAAATACAAAAATGTTGTAAATGTCGCCTTGTCTGGCCATACAAGGACTGCTTCAGATGTTCTACTTAATAGGTTACCTGCTGAATTTTTTCCTTTTTAGTGCATTAATATATATCAGATTTTTTTCTTACATGTAAGGCTTGGGTGGCAAATTTCGAAAGACCTCGGATGAATGCCAACTCCCTTCTTGCAAGCACTACAGGACTTAGCCCTTATCTGCGGTTTGGATGCCTCTCTTGTCGCCTGTTTTACTTCAAACTAACAGATCTTTACAAAAAGGTACCTTGATACATTTTTAATCCACCTTGAGTGTCACTTTAACAGCTTTTTAATATTTAACTATAGGTTTATGTTCAATGAGACAAACCTCTGTGGTGTTTAATATGTCAATAAATGTATTGTTTGGGTGGTATGGTTCATGTAAGCCACTACCCATTGTTTTAAGCATTTAACATAAAAGTAAGCCTTGAACTGGTAATTCTTCTACACTGCAGCCACAAGCAACCCGCGCTTTGATAAGATGGAAGGAAACCCCATTTGTGTCCAGATTCCATGGGACCGGAACCCTGAGGCCCTGGCCAAGTGGGCTGAAGGCAGGACAGGTTTCCCATGGATCGATGCCATCATGACTCAGCTCCGGCAAGAAGGCTGGATCCATCACCTTGCACGGCATGCTGTCGCTTGCTTTCTCACCAGAGGTGACCTGTGGATAAGCTGGGAAGAAGGAATGAAGGTATACTGTTGTTTATTATATGGCCACCTTAAAGTGGACCTATGTTTTGCTTGTGTAGGCCAAGAAACTGGCTTACTTTAGTCCTCACCGCAGCACATAACAATCCATTCAGCTCCCGGGGCATCATCCTTTGTGAGCTCAGTTGTTTGAATGGTACTACTGGAGCCCATTTGTCCGTCCTGATGCTTTCTAGGTTGCTTGCTGAATGGGCGACCACTGTCGTATGCTCCTCCATATGTGGAAATACACGGTAGTTTCTTTGTTCCTAGTCGTTAAATAGCGCAATAAGGAAGTGAGGTAGAGGTGCAGCTGACAAGGGCTCAATTAAAGTGAACTTGTTGCAGAAGTATTCTTTTTACAGAGATGATGGAGAAATTGTACTTTTTGGACTGTAACATGTGGAGGCGGTTTTGCTGTCTCTCTGAGATCTCTTCTGTCACAGCCAAGGGTGATATTTTAACATACCAAGCTAGCGCAGTAGTAAACCCAGTCCAAACAAATGGCACTGCCACCGTATACATGGGGCAAGAGTAGAAACAATCGTTCTTCCTGGCTAGGGTTGAGAAATTGATGTGCGCTCATAACACTCGTACTATGACACAACACATCGATTTGACCTATTTCAGAATAATACAAAGCCTAAACATGCAGTTTACATTAATGTCATGTCATCATTAATATGTATAAGAACTGAAATGTGATTAACCCATTTATGCTTCTAATAAGAGTGAGGCATTTATGCCATGACCTCAAAAAAAAGCTATTTATTGTACACAGCGGGGCGCACACAACCTAGAAAATTGCCGGGCCATGTTTATAAGTGAAGATAATGCATGAAGGAAATGATGTTGGGTTAAATGTCAGCAGGTCTGCAGATTGTACAACCCATTACAGGGGAACAGTGGGATACTGTAATAGTGACACCGATCTTAAAAATTACACAATTGCTGTATTTGTAATAGGTTAGACAAGTAGAATAAGTTATGTGGTTCCATTTAAAGCTAAAGCTGCCTTTTCCAAAAGGCATTAAAGATTCATGACTTTGTTATTTCCCCTTCTGCCGCTAGAGGGCAGACCTGTACTCCTTTCCCACTGCATCCTTTTTCTTTTTCCTGTCTTCTGTTTCCTGTTCCCCAGCTCCCTACCCGTTCCCTTCCCCTCCCATTTTGATACTGATTGTTAAGGAACTGTTAAAAAATACTAATAAAAACTGATTCAACACTAAAAAAAAAAAAAAAGATTCATGACTAGCGGTTATTGAAAACTAGATGGCCAAACCAGATTTAGGAGTGTCAGTTGGTTAGGTGCCATTTACTTCAATGCACCGCCACGCCCCCTCCTGCCCCTAGACGCAGGGAGCTGGACGAGTTGCAATACAGTGCGTTCCAGAGGCTGACCGTTCTGGAACGCACTGGTGTGAAGCGGACATTAAATTGTAGCTGTATTTTACCCGTTGGAATAGTGATAATCTTTTCACAAATATGTGAATAAAGGACAAGACTGTCTCTATACTAAGGTGTGCTCGTGAAGATTCCTATTTGTGCTCCTAAAATGTAACTGCACCTGTCCCCCCAATTCATAGAAATACTGGCTGCATGACCACATCTGCGCCACACAACCGGCTTTCTCCCCAGTGAACACATTGGCACCACACAGTCTGTCAAGCACACATGCTCTCTGCACTCTTTTAATCCTATGGAGTTTGTCTGGAGTACAGTCTTGAGCTTCAAAGCCTTTCAGACGATTGAATGAGTGCTCATGCTCAAGCCCTGTGGGATGGATTTTACCAAGAGGATGTGTGTTACTGAAGGGGTCGTGCAGCCAATAACTTTCTGTATCGAGGACAGGCGAGTATATAATGGTGGTGTTTTTTAATAGCATACATTAAAGAGGAACTTTACCCATATCTTCAAAATAACAACAAAGATACCTTTTGGAAATATTTAGTAATGACAATCTACAAACCGATACTTCTAGATATTTGCAGGCTTTTTATTTTTTGCGTACCTTATTTTTCTTTTCCTTCCCATTCTTCACACAGTGGCCATTTTAACTTAAGGTCAGATTGCTAGATCTCCTTTTTCTTCCTGGCACTTGTGATTAGGACATGTGACCATGCATATCATCTCAGGGGAGGAAAATGCCTTTCCCTGAGATCTCATGAGATTACAGATTAGATTTCCCAGCAATGCTCTGCTGATGTAACCTTCCCAGAATGCATTGCTTGGGCACAATTACATCATGTGTGCCAGAGTGGACCGGGAAGTGGAAAAAAAAAGCATTTGTACGTAAAATAAAAATGTTTTATTTAGCTCATGAATGTAAGATGATTTCATATCGGCATGTAGAGCTGTGTATGCGGATGTGATTTTTAGTCGAAGGGGGTAAAGATGCTCATACCCTTTCCAGGAGGCCAGCCCTGCCACCTCAGTGTATTTCCTGTAGGTTACTTTGTGTCTTTTGGGGTGTTTGCACAAGGGACCGAAGATATCTATGCTGTCGATATCTTAATATCTACAGCATATATATTACATATATATCGATAGCAATGCTATATATAGCTACATTTTCAAGATGGATATTTTGACTGATTCTAAAAACCTCTAAAATATAAACATTGGTAATAATTTTTAGGTATACATTGGCAGTGATATCTGCTTTGAAAGAAATTACCTTGTTCTGCCATTCTAACAAGAGTATGCAGGAGGTCAGATGGATTTCATGTTCGATTCGGTGCTTCCTACGTGCCTCTAACGTTTTTAGCCGATTCATGCACTGATTGGTAGCAGATATACCTATCTAGCGTCACAATATATCATTTTTGGGCTGTGAACCGCTCTCTGTAAACTGCATATGTGATACATCAGATAAAGTGAGACTCGAACAAGCTTAATATATAAAGCAATTCGTGTCACATCTCTGAAGTAATTGGATACCCAGTGTCCTCTGTGTAGTAATATAGTTGACCTTTTTAAACCTGATCAATTGTATAGTGACTCGCATGTTCTGAAGTGCCTGACCTTGCTTTTGGAAGCTGATATTGAAGGTCATGAGACGGCAGATGTTGCTACTGTGTTATTTAAGGTCTTAAGAAGTCTTCGGGTGGTGGCAGGGAAATAGATTAGCCTTCGGAATTGTGAAACAGTTTCTGGGGGTGGAAAAAAGGAAAACGTTAAAGGTTGAGACATCTTGGACTAAGATGCACATGTAAAAAAACACCATATAGTGATGTTTATTCCTTTGGAAGTGTATTTTAAACTTACAGCTAGCATAACTACCTGAATCTTGTGTGATGTCAACCTCCTGTCATCCCTTGATCAGCGGTACTTAGACTAGGAGAGTGAGGGACAATACTAGCAACCAGAATCATAACTTTTGTTTTTCCCCCTTTTATGCTCTTGCCTTAAAGTAGAGAAAAGCATTTAGAGTATATGTAAATTCTATCATTGCAAAGTCATTCAATCTTTTGCATCTCATTTCACGTTCGTTTTCAATCTCCAGCTTGCATTAAAAGAATACATTGCAATTCTGCCATTAAGATCCTTTTTTAGGCCCTTCTGTTTTTAGAATGACAACACTCTGTCCCTGAGTAATCACAGTGGTTCATCGGCACACACAAAGGAAAATTCCAATTCCAATATCAATATCTCTTTAACATGTTTATTTTGTTAAATGTCACGCCGTGTCATCAGAAGCTAACGTTTCAAGACCTCGCAGGGACCCTCTTATCAGAGCGACATAGTGAAACACAGTGTCCCTTTCTTCCCAGTTGGGCTCCTACATTGTCACCCTGTCGCATGTGCTTCCAGTGAGGATTTAAGTGTCCATGCTGACTCTTATAAGTGAGAGGAAGTGGTTGCAAAGGGACAGAGGATATAAGCAGCAGCGAGAAATAACTGTGAAAATTTTTTTTCTAAATTAAAGTTTGATTTGCTTCCAAACCAGTGCGTGTTGTAGACTCATGTAGCTTTCTCTTCTGTCTACACAGGTCTTCGAGGAGCTTTTATTGGATGCTGATTGGAGTGTCAATGCTGGAAGCTGGATGTGGTTGTCCTGCAGCTCCTTCTTTCAGCAGTTTTTCCATTGTTACTGTCCAGTTGGGTTTGGAAGAAGAACTGACCCTAATGGGGATTATATCCGGTAAGATGTTTTTCTTTTATTTGCTCAAGGTTTGGGTAGCTGTAATGGTTTGGAAAGCAAATGGAATGGAAGCTTGCAGTTGGAGTTTAAAATGCAGTTTCTCCATCTGTGTCTGTGGATTTGAAATGAGATAATAAAAATCACACCATATCTGAAAACAAAATGGCCAGGTATTGGCAAAGCAAAGTGTTTCCAACAGGGTAACAGATAAAAACAAAAACATATTTTCAGTAAAGTGGGGAAAGGTTAGAACTTTAGTGTTTTTATTGCTGTATGTGCTTTCCTGTCCTGGTTACAACGCCCTCCTATTTCTTGCCATGGTGTCGCAGGAGGTAAGGGACAAACAAACTCTAAACCCTTTCCCGGTTACAGAACCCCGCAAAATTCAGCTTAGGTTTTAAATCAGATGCGTGTTTTGTAATTGCATCTAGTGTCAATAAGCTCTAAGTTAAGCAGCGTAGAGAGCAGCAACCTATAGCAACCAGATTTCATCTTTAAGTGATCTGACTTGCTGGTGAATTTTGAGTACGTCACTTTCTGATGCTTGAAGCCTTGCCCAGGGTGGTAAAATATACTCATCGTTGGTTGTTTTTTTGTTTTTGTTTTAAGCCGTTACTTGCCGATTTTGAAAGGATTTCCTCCAAAGTATATCTACGATCCTTGGAATGCTCCTGAGGCAGTGCAGAAAGCTGCTAAATGTATAATTGGGGTAAATTATCCCAAACCAATGGTGAACCATGCTGAGGCCAGTCGTCTGAATATTGAACGGATGAAACAGATCTACCAGCAGCTCTCCAGATACCGAGGACTTGGTAAGTCCCATTCAGTGCCACTTGTGTTTATTGCTGACACTTCTCCTGTCATATTGGTTCTGTACAACTTCTAGTATACAATTGGGTTACATCGAGGTTCTTGACAATGTGCATTGTTTTCTTTTTAGGACTCCTTGCATCAGTGCCTTCAAATCCAAATGGAAATGGGAATGGCGGACTTATGAGCTACTCTCCAGGAGACAATATGCCAGGGTGCAGCAACAATGGAGGTAATCTAATGCCCAACAGGTTAAATCGTTAAAAGATAACTCTGCAAAGTATTATTTACATCTCAACTGAGAACATAACCCCACTGAAAGTTTAGGAAAACTGCAACACTTCTGCTTCCAGACTGGAGGCTATGGGATGGGCACAGACACCAGATTATTCTGCTTGTCTGGTTTAGGAGATGAGCTAATTGGTATATTGACCCTCCCAGCTTTAACCCCTTCATGACAGGCCCTTTTTTCCATTTTTGCACCCATTTCAGGTAAGTCGCCAGGATCGCTTCTGTTGTAAAGCCGACAGTCGGCTCTACAAGTTTAAACGTCGCCGGGAGTCTGTTTAAACAGCCCCGATGCTGGCGACGTACACTGTACGTCGTCAGTCACGAAGGGGTTAAAATCAAACTTGATGATCATTTATAAACTCTTGGGGCCTATTGACACTACCATGTTGTAAACTCGTGTTCACAAAACCGTAGGGTAAGTAGTTTTCCAATATTCATCAGTTTTAAAAAATATCAGGTCACATTATAGTCGGCGCTAAGGCACCAAGCGCAATATGCATTTTAATTAGTGCGCTTCCACTCGCATAAACATTTCACATGTTTGTAAGCAAAAAAAAGTCATTTAAAACACATCTGGCATTGTGTTAAGACCCCATTCACACTGAGCTACATAAAAAAAACGCTTTTTCAGTGCTGATTTGAGCTGAGCGACATTGAGCTACGGTGCAATTTTTGTCATGCTACGTAGCGCTTCTTTTGGCTGCCTATTGGGGCCAAATCGCACAAAATCCGCTAAAAAATAGGTCATGTTCGAGCGACAAGCTTGAGCAACAAGCGACATTGAGCTGTTAGATGTGAACCGCTCCATTGAAATACATTGGACGAGCTACATTGAGCTTCATGTTTGAGCGGAAATCGCTTAGTGTGAATGGGGTCTAAATTTGCCTTTTGAACACGGCACAAATGCATTTTCTAATGTGATGGTGTAAACGAGCCCTTAAAGCATGCCCACGCACCCTTTCATGACTGGAGTTAAATTAGTAGAACTATCGTCTAAAAACAAATATCTTATAATACAGCTTGACGAGTTAAGTCATATACTATTGAACAGTTTTCACCAGCTTGCTTATTAGCAGGCTACATGACAGCTTTTAGCTGCCATAGAGGGTAACTTGATCAAGGTTCCCACAGTATGGGACATCGAACAGCTGAATGTTCATCTCCAGGTAGTGAATAGGAAGTGGTTATGGTGTGCAGGCAGATGCACTCCCTTATTCAAATTTGTTTCAGTAAAAGGGAATACATAGTGGTTTGTGAGAATTTTTCTTTATAATGGTCAGGATTTAAACTAAACCTCTTCATGTCATTTAACTAAAATGTTGTCTATAAATATTATGTGCACATGTGGCCAGCAGGTGGAGCTACAGCCTTTTTTCACAGTGCTCTACAAATCAGAGTCATTACATGAGAGAGGAAGCAATGGTTTACAACGTCCTCTATACACAAGAGGAATGGCATAAGCATAGCATGTTAAACGCACCGGACATGATGTAGGTTAGAGAGTCATTAAGACATAAGAGGAATAGATTGTTGGATATTTTCATTTTTTAGTACCCACATTTTCCATCTTGCTGCAATGTGTAATCTAGTGCTTCTCTCCATAGGGTCTCTAATGGGAACCAGTGATGGAGCCTCCACCAGCAATCCAAATAACAACAACCAGGGAGAGTCTCATACTGGGATAGGAGGGATACAAGGTACTAACCTCAGCTCTCTCCACTATTTTAGTGGGAAACAAAATTGATGCTAGCCTACGTTTTTTGTTGTTGTTTTTTTAAATACAGTATGAAAGGCAATGCTTTGATCCATAGCAGCCAATCAGAATTAATCATCTAGACAGGCCTGTCCTCCTGTCTCACCAGTTGTGTGCATCTTGTACATTTCCCCACAGTCTAATCAGTAATAATTAATCTGTTTGTAAGGAGAAAAATACACAAATGCCCTTGTGGTTTATAGTCTAGACTGACAGTAAGATCTTATTGACAGCTTTGGGTTAAGGTGTGTAAAGAATTGCTGCTTCAGTGCAATGTCGTGAATGATTGGGTGATACAAACATGTGCACTAATACAGTAGTAAGTGTTGGGCTTGTGTCGATGGGTAAATGCAGCGTGTTTTCAGATGCATTTCACATGCATTTAAGTTCAGTTTAGGGCACTTTTGGGATCATTCAGAGTTCATTGGCAGGTGAGTTTTGACCTGCTATGAACTGCATTAGGTCCTGTGTTGACAGGCTTGTGTTCACGTCATACAGGTTTTACTTTCCAATATAAGTCTATGGGAGTGCAAACCTCCCCTGAAGCAAGTCAGAAGGTCAGCTGCAGGCCAGATGTACCAGTCAATTCTGAATGATCTCAGGAACTTCTGAAACTGATGGCTATAGCTCGCGGTATACTGAGATGCCGCAGCCAGGACGGATCCCGACATTACTGTCTGGATCCACCCAGCTGCGTGAAAGGCAGATCAGTGATTTTCACTCGCCTCATAGTTCCCCTTTAAGTGCCAATCGGGCTATGCTGGAGTGCACATGTGCTGACAAGGAAGATGCTGACAGGGAGAGAGCAAAGTAAGTAGGATGTTTCTCAACAATCCATTCAGCAGACTGGGGGATGTGTCTTTTGACCAGATTGTCTGTTGCTGCAATGTAGGTCGAGGATCTGGCTGTGCAAAGCCTGGATCACAAAAAAATATCTGCACAGAATTTAAAAAAAGAATAAACACCTGAAACAGTTTCCATATGCTGTACATTGTTTAATTGTATATTTCGTTTCATGCTAGTTCTGCTTTGTATTAAAAACATCAAAATGATAAATATGTAATATTATACTAATGTTCCCTATAGCAATACTTATTTAAATACTAGAAGCAGCATTTATATATCTTACATCAATTCTTTCATGAAAATGAAGTTTTCATTGAAGGGACTTCTATTATCCCAACTCTTGCTTATGGCCATGCCATTATCCAACTCACTCCCCATAGCATTCTAAAAGGCTCAATCCCGAGATGTATTCAGAAATGCACTAGAGAACCACGTTTTCTAGTCAAGTCTGCAGGATACTTCAGATATTACCTTTTTAGCATCTTATGGATTCTATATTAATGTCCTGTACAAAACTTTTAGTCTGGAGGGAGAAGAGCGCCATAAAAATACTAGTCATCATGGCTCATAGCTTGTTATCACTGAATGTTTAATTAGGACCTAATTGAATGCCATTTCTCTTAGGTTACTGGCAGGGGAGCAGTATCTTGCATTACAGCCATGGAGACAGCCAGCAGTCTTACTTAATACAAGGTATTTTATGTTTACATTCAAAAGTACATCTCATTTACATTGAATAGAGTCAGTCTGACACTGCATGAAATTCCGGTAGGGATATCCCTGATAGATTGTTCCCTAGAGCCGAGGAAATATGCGTGCCTTTACCTGCTTAAAGTGTAATACCTTTTTAAGTCCTCATTCACGGGAGAAGTGGCTGGCCCATACAGATCCGTGCATGGCCATATCGGGCAGCTCCTGGGAAGGAGAGATGCTGCGTGTGATTTGTACGAAGCAGCCTGTCCTTCTCTATGGGAGTACGCGGCCCTACGCTCACCAAACCTGCATGTCCGTGTGGGTGTCCCTGCTCGGACGCAGACAGAATCCATCCGGTCAGCGTACGAGTACAGACGCCCACGGACGTGCAGGTCGGGTGAGCGTACGGCCAGTGTACTCCCATAGAGAAGTACAGGCTGCTGTGTAAAAATCACACGCAGCACCTGTCCTTCCTGGAAGCTGCCCGATACAGCCATGCACACAGCACAGATCTGTACGGGCCGGCCGTTTCTCGTGTGAATGAGGGCTTATATGCATTAAACCAGAAGAGTGATGAATGCACTATGGACCACTTTTGGAAATGATTCCTGCTAAACATAAAGCATTAATGCAGAGGTGTCTGTTCTGCTGTCCAGTAGAGGTTCCCTTTTCCTGGTTTGCAGAATTAGGCAAGCAGAGGACTCTGGTTTATAGACCCCATGCTGTGCGCTCTGTAGATAAGTGAGGCTGTCCATGTAGTTTTTGGAAAACAGTGGAGCTTCACATATTTATTAGGGGAACACATGTATAGAAATAATATCTCCTGTGTGGCAAAACTGGTACACATGATCATTGTCTGCCTCTGTCTTCTCAGGGAGGAATGCTATGAACTCTGTGATGTCTTTTGGCAAACGTCCCAGTCCTGAAGAGACTCAAAGCATTGGGCCTAAGGTGCAGAGACAAAGCAGCCATTAACCTGGTGAGTGTCTGTCCTTCACTTAATGTTTGCGGTTTACAAAGAATATCTTGCATGTTTTTCATGGGTAACATTAAAGCAGCATCAATTATTCCTACTCATGTTACTACAAGTACAGTAATACCTTGGTTCACGAACGCTTCTGTTCGCAAACAATTCGGTTCGCAAACAGGAAGTTCAGCAAAATTTTGCTTCTGTTCACAAACTCCAAATCACGTGATGAACACGACCGCGGCCATCTTCCCAGCTCTGACACATGGTAGTGGCTTTCTCTAGCCGAGATTGCGGTCGCAGACAGACCTGTGCACACTTGCTGTGAAGCTTTTGTGTGCGCTTTTTAGCACATACAGTACTGTACAGTATTCAATCCAGTATGGCTCCAAAGAAAGTGCAGAGCAAGCATGGTGGTAAAAAGAAAGTGCAGAGTGGTAATAAATGCACATATGGTTCAGAACAGATTAACCTCATTTACATTTTTAAAAAAAATTTGAGTCTGTTTGCGACCACGTTCCTTGGGGTCAGAGCGGATTAACCTAATTTACATGGAACCTTATGGGGAAATTTGATACGGTTTGCGACCAATCGTGGAACGAATTAAGTTCATGAACCGAGGTACCACTGTATAATACTCCTCTGCATGGGCAAAACAAAGGCTTAGTGTCCACCTCAATCCCTAAAAGCTTCAAAGGTTTATTTCGGACTTTGGAAGTAAATCTGTATTCATGCTCTTGAGGTTTTTTTAAAAGCTCATGCCCAGGGATGATTGTGGACAAACTAAGGGCTTCTGTTGGAAATACAAACAGGTCCGTATAAACACACACACACACACGCAGCCAGACAAATGTCCTGCTTGTGTACAGACCTCTACCCCCGTCACAATCCATTGCTATAAATCATGTCTTCAAATAAGAAGGAAGTAATCAGTTCCTAGCTATGTACTTACCAGACAGCTTTTTGTATTCATTGAGGTGTTAGGAGAGCAGAGCAAAATTGTTTTGTGCCAGGATAAGGATTTTAGTTTTACTTTTAAAGTAAACCTATCATTAGAGAAATATTTGCCGCTTCTATTGCTTTTCTCCTGAAAATGCTAGTTACCTGACTGTTTGGCTTGAATGCTCATAAGGTGCAGGCCCAGGTCTAGCATAAGCTTAGGGAAAAGTTTGAATTCTTACCTGTATACTTGTCAGGTTGGTGACCCAATAAATATTGAAGCATTCGGATGACACTTGAGGACTAGCATTTTCTGTAGATGTCAGTAGTGACTGCCAACATATGACTGCGACAGGTTCGCTTTCATGTGTGAAATTATACTTTTTGCTCCTGGTCATCCTTAGGAATTATATATAGTAATATACAAATGCTAGGTGGCTGGTTTATGAAAACTGGAGACAACGTGGAGCTGTTGGCAGTATTAAACAGTCAGGTTTCGCTGTTAATTCTCTGGGTTAAAAGAAATGGGGTCACTGTGGATAACAACTTCAGTTTTCATAGAGTAGTAACTATATGAGGTACATCTCACTACATATCTGTGAGACATTGTAACTGATTGGGCTAACTAGCAATTGCTAAACCAGACACATGATGCCAGTGTGATAAAAACTAAGGAAATTCTGCTGTCCATGTCAATTTTCCTTCAGCCACTTATGAAGCATACAGTTTTCATTCTTACCTTGATAATGGTGCAATTTGAAATACTGTATAGCCCATTGTATTACAAATATAACCGTTCTAATCCAGGATACAAACATCTGTCATGTACGCTCCCTTGTAGACTGATAATCATCTGACAACTATAGCTGGCTGTACATCAGTTCTAAAAGCTGCATGAAGGAAGAGTGTTCTATAGAAAGCTCTGAGATTCCAGCTGCTAGAATAGTGCAAAGAAACCTGGATATGGGTTGCCACATGCAACATCTTCATTCTTGAAAATGTCCAGGACGGTTTGGAACCAGCCTGGTTTCTGCTGCTATCCCGGGCTCCTTTTAGAAAGAATAACCATACTTCCTGTCCTGCTGACTGCTTTTTACCAAACAGGAAGTGAGAGGAACTTTCTAGCAGCAACACATGTTTCTGTAGTAGAGTAGAGGAAGGCTAGGACCCATGATTTTTATTTGTTTGTGTCCCCGTTATAGATTTTTCTCTGTATGGGGAAACCATTGCCAGCAGCAGAGGAACTGAGGGTAAATCTCTCTAACAGAGGCCAGGATAGCAGTAAAAGTCGAACAGTAGTTCTAATCCTTTCTCAAAACTAGAAACAAACTTGTATGGCTTCACATACGCTTTAAGCTGAAATCCTGGCAAACTGCAAAAAACACAGATGACGTGCACATATGAGATCTGTTTTACCTGCCAAAGGATTTGTTTCTGTCCTTCCAGTCCTTGCATTTACACAGCTTTGCCTCACAGCAAAGCCACCCAGGTGACCTGACCTTACTCTACTGCAGTTAAGTAATACAACTAGGCCTTGTCCCCTCTTTCAGCTTATTACTTGACAGTGAAAGGAGAAGCTCATTTTTCTGTCACTCTGCTCGCTGCTCCTATCAGCAGTTGTTGGCACTGCAACTCACCTAATTGGCTGTGTAAAGTGCTGCTTCTCCCAGTCTGAGTTTTGCTGTAGAGGGACTAGCAGAGCTAGATACCAGGTCAAATATAGGTACTTGCAGATCTGAAAATCCTAAAGAAACAGTTGGAAGCTTAGAAAATTGGCATCTGTTGCCATTATAATTGTTTTTTTACAGTCTTGTTACTCCTTTTCTTTTAATACTGCCACAACTAACAATCTATTCATCTTTTCCTTTTTTTTCCCCTAATGCAGATGATGGGATTCATGAAGCAACCTGCAAATGATAACTTTCTCAGTATTGGACTTTACTATGTAAATACTTTAAAAAAAGAAACTTGAGAGCAGCATTTTTCCGAGCTGTTGTGGACTGTTGTAAGCGAATCGGTTTGTTAAAGCTTAATTTATCACTGCGTTTCTATTTTTACCTTTTTCAATATTTCACTAAGCAGTTTTATTCCCTTTTGTACATATTTCTGTAAGTATTTGGTGACGCTTGCTTTACCAACGTGTAAATATAGATATATATGAACTAGATAGACAGCTCAATATATTTTTGATAAATTCTGTACTGCAAGAAACTATCTAGAATGTCTATAATCTTGGGATTTTACTGCAATTCCTCCACCCTTTTCATTTTCAGTAGTTTTACGGTTAGGAGGCCTTCTGTTTAAAGTCCAGCCGTTTAAAACATCTCACTGTCTTTTTTTCATCTCCGCTGAAGCAGCCACTTTGTGCACTGAACCAATTTCAGGAGGTGGATGGAGGAAAGGCTATTCACAGCAAGGGCAGTTGCATGTGCTGTTGATACTTGAGGGCAGCTGGATGTGGGAGTGGCCAATTTTGGGAAAGGCGGGTGGTATGGGATTTGCCTTTCACTGCACAGGCGCGTGATTGGCTTTTCACAGCAAAGGGAGGAGGGAGTGGCTATTCACTGCAAGGGCAGGTAGTAGTCAAAGGGAGGTGGATGTGGGAGTGGTCATTCACAGCAAAGGGAGGGTGGAGTGGTCATTTACAACAAAGGAAGGTAGATGTAGGTGTGGCCAACCACAACAAGGGCAGTGAAAAAATCCTCCAGCACTAAAGTAAGTTAGCCAACCAAGCATATATAAATAGCAACTTCTTGTTTGGCAGTATAAATGAGGTCACAATTGCATATATTTGTAGTCGGTGCTCATTATACCAAGACACCTCTGTAAACCTCAATCTGACTCTTATCTATGGGAGCACCCAGTATTGACCTATAGAGTGATGAGTTAATTGATAACAGGCTTATCTACAGCTTTCCCTTCTTTAATGGAAGAACAACCTGTAGGTGGTGGTTCAGTATTACAAAGAAATCTGTTTCTAACCAAATTGTTGACAAGCAAATAAAGTAGATCTGAACCCTAAGTGGATGAACGTTAGCTTGCTAAAGTACCGCGTATCATAAACCATGCGTTGCCATGTTTTCTTTTTAATCCTTTTTGTATGCGAGTGCTGCTGATCTTCAGCCTCAGTTTGCCACTTCCTTTTTTATACATTCTCTCTCCAGTGTCCGATGCACATCCTGATGGTGACCATGGCAAAACATGCCATTTCCATGTGTGCCGGCACAGCAGCTTGTAGTCTCCACCAGGGGCGCATTTACTTGAGCCACTTGTCACCCTGTAACGGGAAGTGCCTGAATGGCAGGATCACTTTTAATCTATTTAAAGCTGCAGATTTAATAGGATTTAACATGGCTTTAGAAATTACATTTTACATGTTAAAGTTTATTCGAGATGTTATTGATTTGGGTTTAGAACTACTTTAAGTCATAAGGAGTTTCTCTGTGACTGTACACCACAATTGTCATCCACGCTTGCATGGGTGACAAAGGAATATTCCAATAAAAGGATTCCATGTATCTTTATAGCGTGGATTCTGTCTAGTCTACATTTAGATGCTTTTGCTCTGCCCTCCCTTACAGATAACTGTGTGGCCCTGCGGTTTTTCATACACTTCAGGTAGTGTACACACAGCACAGGTTTTATCTTTGTAGCATCAGATGCAAAAAAGAGCCTCTGATATTGTGTCGCCCCAGGCCTAGAGTGACACGGCCTTTCCAAAATTGTGTGCCTGCTTACCAAAGCATTGACTGCATAGTGACTGACATAGTGATAGATGGCAGAAGGGATTAACAAGCAGTTTTTTTTCAGAGGTAGGACATTGCCACCATAGTGATGCTTATTCATATTCCAGTAATGTATCATAGGAAGCTGCAGAGCTGCAACAGTGAATAATGGTTTCTGGTTCTAGCTATCTTGCTTGGCAGGAGTGTGAGAACCACAAAGTGGCTGAACAGATTACAGTGCTCAGGCAGGTAAAACACCCATATTTGTATTTCATCTATGAATGGAGCTGTCTGGCATTTCTCCTATTATAATTTACACCCCAAAAAAGGAACAATAGCCCAGATCTGCCCCACATTTCCCAGTTATATGTATTAATCTCTGGTCTATTGTATAATAAATATACCTGCCACTCTTCCTCGGAGAGAAAGGACCACATTATCCTCAAGATAAACATCCTAAAAATGATCGTCAGTTGAATTGAACACCATTTTGTCTTATAATAATGTAAAGTATTAAAGGCTTTTTGTACTGTATAAAATGATCGCAGGGTCTGTTATTCTGAATCCTATTGTTTTCTGACATCACTAAAAGTTTCTGACCTCGAAACTTGGGATATTTACATTGAGCATCAGGTTACCTTTAGGCACAAGGATCCGTAGATCTAGATTGATGGGCAGCTGACGTTCTATGCAAATCTTTTTATGTGAAGGCTGAGCTTGGCCCTGCCCTTTTTGATCTTGGAGACCACCAGTCACGTTAGTTAACTGGTTTGGAGAGGACAGGGCTGGCCTACACATTTACAATAAAAGTAAAGATTTGCACGCAACAACTACTGTGTCCATCTCTGATCTGCTCGTTCTGACATGTGCCGTTTTCACTGAAGTTTACCTCTGCTTAGGCATTTTTCACCTTATGCTCAGTTTAAATAACACAGGTCTATGACAGGTTAACACACATTTCCTTTGTCATTCTCCTCTTAAAAGCTGTCATCACAGAGCCACTTTTACTTGAAGAACACCCTGTAAAATAACAAGGTTCTATAGATGGCTTTACGGTGGCCCATTTGTTGAAACGCTGTTTGCGTCTCCCTGGCGCAGAATCAATTTGTCCCTTTTGGGTGTATAGAATACCCGCTCCCCCCTACTCCCACATGCTTTGGTTTCTCTTGTTGGCTCGTAGTCCTGTATAGACGTACAAACAGCCAGGAGGAAACACAGCGTGAGGTGGAGGAACAGGTATTCTACACAACCACAAGTGTGGAATTCCTGTTGCAGCTGTCGAAGGAGTGAAGCAGTGGCATTTCAACAATCAGGCCAATGGAAAGATAACTACACAACCCTATCATTTGCAGTATCGTCTGAGTCAAAGTTACCCTGTGGTGGCGATAGGGGTCACTTTAATAGAGCTATTGGAGTAAATTGGTTGAATGTATAATATTTTCACTATATTAGCACTGATTTCCTTTAACCCCTGCCACTCGGATAAGGAATCCTATACCTTTTTATTTAGTCTTTATTATGTAAATCTACTGTATGATACCTTGGTTACTACTGTTTACCACAATTAATTGTGTTTCCATCATTTCTGATTGGTTAGGACACCTTAGCCCATGCAAAGGTATGATGTATGTATTATGGCAGACAATGTATTGTTTACATGTAGGGGGATTTATGAAAACCAAAATGTGGATGTGCAAGCGATCCGGCTGTCTATAAGAGATTCTGGATCCTGTGCTTTACACAACCTCATTCCCTGCACCAGAATCATGAAACTGGGTGTTTTCACAACTCGACTTTACTGATAAGGCCAAGTTTTAGTTCATTCTTTACTGTATTTTTAAATGTCTGTTCCCTTATTGTGCCAGAATTCAATCTGGATATTTTCCAACATACATTAAAGGAGAACTCTACTGAGCACAATTGGCATCTAAAATGAGCACACAACCTAGGCTCTTTGTAATTAAAAAGAAGAGTAAATCCTGGGGCGATGCCTATTGTTAGCAGTTTGAATTATTTCTGACAATTGGTTTGAAACCAGAAGGCACTCTCTTATTTCATAGGCTCATTTCAGACTAGCATTCCTGTCAGTGCAGACACAAAATATGCAGGGACAACACTGACCTGATTTCATAAGTCGCTCCCTTGCTGACCAAATGCTGCAGAATGCTAGTAGTCAGCAAAAGAGCGATGCCTCCCTCATCCAGCCCCCGAGGGAGCAACACAAGCACTGCATTGGAGCTCTTCTTTAATAATAGAAACAAATGCTAGTAGACACAGCAAAGGAGGCTGTATTTTATCGTATAGCAGCATGCTGGAAAATATCCGTCCTGGTTTCTTACTGTGGAGAAGTGACAGCTCTAATGATGTACAATCATTGGAAGGATTGTGGCTCCATAGCAATTTCAGAAACAGGTTGCACATACAGATTGTGTTCCTCTGTCATAGTGGCCCGAATCGCGCAGTAACGCGTGTCTCGCCATTCCGGCTCCATTCATCTTATGTCTTTATTTTCTATTTATTATCTTGTCAGTAAGAGCAGCTGTATATATTGCATGCATGCCAATTTTCTTAACTGCTGTACTACTGTCAAGTTCCTGTTTGTCCTTTTTTCTTTGTACACCCCATTGCCTTTTTGATTTTTCAAGAAATAAAAAAAACAATCCCTTCTAATAAAAATGTAAATACTGTTTTACAAACTTGTGTGCCACTTTCTTTACATCGCCCACTGAAATTGCTGACGGCTTTGCCTAAAGTGTATCGAAATGCAAGAACAAAAATATACAGTATAGGGCACCATACTAGTCTTTTGGATGTAGAGGCTGCATTCAGTGCATTTAATTATATTTTTATTTTCAGTTTATTTCCCTTTTATTCATAGGACAGGAGGACAGGACACCATCTCCATTAAAGGGGGGGGCGCGCGTAGCAGTCTGCATGTAATTGCCCATGGTATGATTACATACGATTCCGGATCGAATGTTGCTGGATGGAGGATAGACCATGTATGATTACATGCGGACTGCCGCTGTCACCCTGTCATTAACTTCAATGGGTACAGTGGCCGCTTCTGGACGGGGCACCTAGGATTCCTGCCGCAGGAAGGAATTCAATATGAGTAAAAAAAAAACAAATCAAGGCAACTCAGAAGTATCCAAAATCATACTACATTTGCCTTCTGAGGCTGATACATGTGTACATGAGCCCTTACACTGATAGAGTGGTTCCTGCACTTTGCACAT